GTATTAGACTCGCTCTAAAGTCACCAATTCCACCACGTATGGGATATTCTTTAGCACAGTGTGCTTGTTGCTGTTTAGCTATGATTCCCTGTCTTGTCACATTTCCCTCATTCGACCTCGGCTGCACTTGAGGATGTCCGAGAGAAAGCACGCTGTGTGTGTGACAGAAGTGGGCTTCACAAAACCGAAGTAATTCCCCCTCCCCCTCGTCGACGGAGCGCAGCTGGTCGAGCACCGTGTCCCCAGGCCAACAACTTTTCAAGGGAGAACCCTGTAAAATCGTGACCAAAACCACCAAAAACAGCCACAAAATGTAGCGCCGTGAGCCATGTCTGTAATGCTGTCCCAAGTTAGCTAGCATGATAGCCTAACTAGCTAGCACGCTAAACTGACCAGTTCGCTACTCTTCAGTGTTCACAACTCAAACACAGACTTGACCGAAGGCTCAACAGCAACGTAGAGCATTAATTAAACATATAACCTACCCCAATGGCTCCCGTCCATGAAGTTCCTCTCCTCAGGTGAAACGCTGCCGTCCATGTTCAGGTTCTGCTGTTCCGTCGTCTCGTTGAAGAAAGGAGCGCGAAATCTCCTCTGACGTCACCCCCTGAGTACGCACTATAGGTTGCCAGGTTTTACTCGTATTACCCAAGTACATTTTACTTTGTTGTGTCAGGTAGTGCATTCAATACAGTAGTTTAGTAGATATTACTTAGTGTGAATGATTAAAATGTACTTATAAAAATGAGGATACATAATTACAAACAAACACCAAGTAACACATTAAATAAAAGGTGATATTTTAAAGTAAAAGCACTGGAATGATGATTTCTTGTAAAATTTACAAAAATAATCGAGGTAATAATTATAGGGCCAAAATGTATTTTTTTTCAGTGTACTAAAGACAGAGAAGGTGAATACATCCATGAACCCGTTACACCTAGGCTGCTTTTTTACACCTTATTTGGTGCAGTTGAATCCAATCCTGGACTATATATCCGCTTGGTTTTGGCTCCTGTCAGGAGTAGAGAATGCCTCGATCAAATCCCATCCGCATGAGACAACAGCTCCCTGGCCAGCCTGACACAGGTGATTTCATGCCACTTTCAAGTGAATTCCAGAGAGGGCAATTTAAGGTGAGAATCCAATCAAAAAAGTGCTCCCTTACAAAACCCATAATATACTTGATTTACTGAGCTTTTTTGGCTGCTGTAATTTTCCTATGCACCTGTCCAAATACCTCCAAGACCATCTCTTACTACTTTTAAAGTCACAGTGAAATGAAAAACAATGTCCTTGATTTTATTTATTGTACTTCATGGAAAAGAGTTTGTTTATATAGTGACTACAACTGGTACATAAAATCCATTTATTACCACCGAAACAGATTCCAGGACCTGAAGCTTCTCAAAGTTCAGTGACTCGCAAGATCATCGGATAGCAGTAACCTTTTCCTGAGACGCAACAGATGCATCCCAGTGCTTGTGATTTTACCCTTTTGAGAAATCCATAATTTTTGACAGCTCAAGATTAATAATGTTCTGTCCAATAAACAGCTGACCTGAGCAATCCTGACTGATTACAAATAGCCTGCTTAAATGCCGCTATCATTTGTTAATGGTCAAAAGGACGGAGCCAATGACGGCCGCAAAACAATTTCTGATTTGGACCAATCCAAACAAACTAGGTGAGAAGAGGTGAGACTGTAAAACCTCATAAATACATACACAGTATATAAGAGTACTTACATGTGGCATAATCCAAGGATATTCTGGAGATGAGGAAGCATATTTTGGCTCAGAACTAATAAAAGTGTTTTGAAATGGAGCTGATTTCCTTTTTTTCTTCAGGCCAATGAGACATGTATTCCTTATGGGGACACAGCTTTAACATCTGATGACATCATAGGTCTGAGAGAGTGACCTGGAGTGAATTCTTCCTGTTGAAGTTTCTTAGCAGCTCTCCAGGGCGAGAGCACATAACTAAAGAGTGATAATTGATTATAGAATGCTTCTGGTGATTTGTGAGGCTCAGGATTCAGAAACGAATCATTCACTGCTCACTCACAGACACATCTGACTCAGAGGAGCTCATTACTGTGTGTAATGGATCTCTACTGACATCTAGTGGTCTTAAAACGTAAACTCAAGTTTGGGACGATTCACAAGCTATTTTGGTTTACATACAGTGATATCATTTTGAACACATCTTAAAATGTATTACTATGACAAAATTTGTCCTCGAGACAAATTTTCTGCCAATTAATACCTCGATAAAGCAAAGCCCAAAAGAATACGAGGGGCAAAGCTACAGCTATGCACTTCCTTTCCTGTTCTTGGTCATGTCAGCTTCTCCAAAGAATAAACCACTATTAAAAGGATGGATCAATGAAGCCTCAGAAGCTGCAGCGTTCACCTCAGCAAAGCACCAAACAGCACTGCGTAGTCTTTTGGAACTGGAAACAGGAAAATAATTCGTTATACGTCAGTAACTGCCCATCAGCATTAAGAAGTTGTTGACCCAATACAATGCCATTGTCAACCCATTTCCCATAATATGGTGATGTATTTTTAAATGGAATATTTTTGTTATTCCAAATAAGTAGAAATAAAATTATGAAGGCAAATCCGTTTTCAGGCCAGCAGAGCTTGTTTATGAAAATGTGCAGGTAATTTAGCAATTTTGTATTTTTTCCACCCAATTAAATACATATTAAGGGAAGGTATTCCAATTGTTGTCTTCGTCTTTAAGATAAGATATACTTTATTGTCCTGCAGGCAAATTTGTCTTTGGCTCCAAGCCGCTGCATTACACAATACACTTGCCAACAACGTCACAATCCACATGTACGCATCGAACACAGGTGATACACACACTCGTGAATAAACATGCTGAGAAACACATGTCAACTTTCAAAAACAGAAAAAGCAGAAGGAATTAAAAGACAACAGTTTTGAATATTAAAACCAAATTAGTTACCCATTTCATTTTGATAGTGTACGTTTCAAAACGTAGTACATCCAGACCCCGTTTATTTGAATGATACATGGGATTTCTTTCCTCCAAACAAAATAGAATAAGATCGTATCTATTTCTTTGTATATTAGGCATTTCTATTGATAAGGAGACAGACAGGTCTACATTTTCCCTCAGCTTTCGATAGCAGAACGTTAGCATTCCATGAAAGATCTCTCACATATTGAATGTTTTAGTTGTTTGTTAAATTGTAGGACTGAAGTTTAAGTTACTGCAAATGTCTTTATTCTTATCAATGACATCACCCTGGTATGTAGCTGTGGTCTCATAGGGATACCGTTCCCTTCTGACAGCTCACATTCCTTGAGTGGTAAAAGAACAGATTTGTTCAAGTTCACTCTCAAACCAGACACAGACTTCATCACTACATCTACTGTATATGCGTTGATCACCTCATGTCTGATAGTTAAGAATGTTGAATGTTAGTGTGTGTTTTCTGCCCGTTGGGATCATCTAAATTCATTACTGGTCATTTTACCTTGAAATTGATCTTCTTCAACATGTACAGCCATAATGTGTGAAACAAGAATAGATAAGAGGGGGCTAAGAAGACAACCTTGTATTATCCTACAACAAATTTCAAATCTATAGTCGTACCGTGTGCTAACTTAACTGAGCTGTGGCATTCTTTATACAATATTTGGAGCGCTTAAAACTGAAATTTGTGGCTTATTGTGTCAAATGCTTTATAAACATTTGACACAATACAAACATTTGACACAAATAAAAATTTATATCATCCAGTCCTAATTTGAACCTTTAAGCAAAGACCAATTCAAATATCTTGGCATCGATAGTTAACAGACTAACTGGTCTCCAATCCTCAATATGAATCATCTTTTTTTGGTTTAGAGCTTTAATCTGACCTTGTTGATCATTCCCAGGAGATGTATTATCTTTAAGAGACTCGATACATTTTCATACCTCTGTTAAACAAATGTTCTGGTGGCAAACAAATTTAAAACTGTGATAAATGCCTTTCATGTACTTTTCTAAGAAACATATCAATATTGCCCTTGTTTTCAGAATCGGTAGCATACAACTTGTGATCTACATATTACAACATGTCTTTTTCAACATTGCTTTGCAGTGGGAAGATAGCTCATAGTTTCTCTTTTTTAAATAACAAAAATCTTCAGTGCATTTTTCACCTTGTTCTAACCACTTCCTCCTTGACCTGACACCTCTGGCCTTCTCCTCGTAGATTCTGTCCTATTCAAGAGGTAACGATGATCTCAGTTCTTCTCCAGATGAGCTTACTTAGTTTTATTGTTTTGTAATAATTTGAGACTCTCTTTCTTTCTTTGTTTATTTATTGGGTGTCATCTTTTGAATGCATTACCTTTTAATAGTGTTTTATATAATTTCCAGTAATCCTTATTTATGACTAATCAATCATGTTGACTTGTATTATTAACAGCCTAAAACTTAGGTTCTATTAGCACTGCTTCTTCAGTCGATCAGTTGTATTTTCAAATATATTAAACTATATTATAATTAAACAATTATAAAAACAAAGATTATATAGCAGAATCTAGCACTGATCCTACCTTGTTTTCTATTTCAGAGGCGGGATTGCTGACATTTGTTTTTATTACTCCAAGTATATATTCAATATGTCTCCAGATATCAATGAGGGCCACCCTATAAACATTTACTAATTCATATACTCTATCCATGTTTTCATCATCACAGTTTGAAAGTCTCCTCCTCATAAAACCTTGGATGAGGGGAATGTCAATAACAGCTGATTCATTTGTCTCGCAATTGTTGAAAATACAATTGCATTGTTTTTTTTATAATTGGAAGCATATATATGAACTGAGATTGGTTAATATCTATAAGGAGGATTATCCATCTATTATTTGTATCCGTTATGTGAAAGATAATATTTCCTTTAAACCAGCATCATTCTTTGGACGTTACGTGCGCGCGGAATACGCCGCACTTCCGGGTCTGTCCGTGCGGAGGAGAGGCGTCGTTGAGGGCGCAGCATCCACAGCTACAAAGAATACGGCGACGATGGCCGATCTGTCTCTGTACCTCACTAACGTCAGTGTGTCCATAGGACAGAGCATGGACGTGGAGCAGGTCGGTACACAGTTCTCTCCTTTACTGCCAACACTTTGTCTCGTGTGTTTACTGCTGTGATGTCGTCCAGTGCCTCTAGCGCATTGTAGTCAGCTGTGTGCCATGTCCGTCTGCTTCTCGTGATATTACGCCAGAAATAGATATGTTTCTATTTGTCATTAAGTCATCCTAGGCCTTCAACATAGTTGTCATCCCACCTTGAAGCAGAATTGACCACCGACTCCCTTTATTAAATATTCCTATAATAACATACACTGTCCTCATGTCTGCTGCTGATGTCCAGACTCCGGCTCCAGGCTTTGAGAGTGTGGAGCTGGGGGAGCTGGACAAGAGAGAGGAGCAGCAGAGCGAGAAGGTTCCCCGCAGGATCATCCATTTCTCTAGCGGGGAGACCATGGAGGAGTACAGCACCGACGAGGAGGAGGAGGAGGAGGGGGACAGGGAGCCGGAGAGGAAAGACCTGCTGTCCTCCCCGGCCGATGCAGCGAAGGTGAGGAACGCTGGAGGGACGGGGAATTCATGTGTGTGGGGGGGCACAAGGAGCTAAATGACGACAAGGGGAATGATGGAGGAAGCACGTGTGTGTGTGAGTGTGTGAGCATGAATCTATCCTTCACAAAGTTAAAAGTGTCCTCTTGACTGTACGTTGTTGTGTTGCAGTCTAAGTTGACCTGGGGTCCATACTTCTGGTTTCACATGTGGAGAGCTGCCACGTCCACCATCTCAGGTTTGTTCACATCATGACGTAAAACCTGACGGTGTAGATCACCATGGTAACTATGCTGCACCTGCACCGAGGCAGGTTAACGTGAGAGGATCACATCACAACTTGTGGAATTCAGGTGGAATTGTGACCGATCAGCTCACTGTTAGATTGAGTCATCAAGTCACGAAAAGCTATAGAGGTATTTTTTATTAGTCAGCAGAATCATTCTGCCGACCATAATGATTATATGACAGAATCTTTGTTACACAACGGTTCGTCCACATCGCTTTTAAAGCAGGGCTTCTAACAAACAGAGAAATTGTAGTTTACCTCATCAACAGTCTAATGAATGGTGATTATAGCTGCATGGTAATTGCACACACTGCCAATTAGCTCAGTATATTATTATTATTAATTATTTAACTATTAATACATTTCAGTCAAATAAACCTTTTTGATCTCTGGTCTTGTCTGCGTTTGCAGCAGGAAGAGCCTTACTTTACTTTAAAGAGTTTTTAAGTCACTTATTGACATTAGTGTATTCGTCATTATGTAAATAAACAAAAAATGCAAAATGAATAGATCCCTTGATTGAATTGAAAAATGACACCGTATTTAAAGGGACAATCCGCCACCTTTTATGTGGATGTCCGATCGGTACAGAAGGTACATTTCCTAGTACGTGCTATATTGACTGATCCTCTTATTATGTATTATTTTCCAGCCTGTGACTACCTGGGGGAGAGGATGGCCTCCGCCTTTGGGATAACATCAGCCAAATATCAGTACGCTATTGATGAATACTACAGGGTGAAGAAGGAGGTATGTTGCCCAGAGGTTCTGGAGTTATGAATCCACGCTGTTCTGATTTTGTCCCCCGGCTGATGTGAGGCTTTCTGCTGTCTGTGTGTCAGAGGGAGGAAGAGAAAGAGGAAGACCGCCTGTCAGAAGAAGCGGAGCGATCCTTTGACCAGCTGCCGTCTCAGGAAGATGAAGACGAGCCAATCACCGTGACAGACCGGCCAGAGGCGGCCGGCGCTCAGCCTGATGTGACCTATCAGATCGAAAATGAAAATCGGGCGTGTTCGAGCACCATCAGAGTCCCTGCTATCGTCACCGCAACCTAACTGACCCTAGAAATGGACGTTTGCGCTCCTATGTCTGTCTGTCTGTTAAAGAAGGAACACTGTCTTGTTTCACCAAGCACCGTTTGGTTTGTGTACGACACAGCTGTGGATGGGCAGTGCTGCTGTATTGTGGTTGTTTGGCAAGGACAGTAGTGGTGGAGTGAGTGTCCTTATGCAACAGTGTAGCAACTAAGTACCGGCTGGATAATGGAGCAATATGATCTTTGAATTTATTGAGGTGTGTGTGTGTGTGTGTGTGTGTGTGTGTGTGTGTGTGTGTGTGTGTGTGTGTGTGTGTGTGTGTGTGTTATAAAAAACATATATTAAGTTCCAATTTATCTGCCAATGCATAGATTTGTTCACATTGTGACAGTTTTCTATTTTGGTTAGTTGTTACATTATTCAGTGAACAGCTGCTGTGGAGTGAAGGTTCCATGTTGCTCCCCTGTGCCTCCGATCGACCTTACACTGTGCCTAAATCATCAATACAGCCCAGTCAGAGACAGATCTGGACAAAGCATACCTGGAACATAATTGGAAATGACTCCCGGCCATTTGAAGATGTCAAATAGCCGTTTTTCAAATAGTTGGTGCATGTACAACAGCTGTTTTGTCCAGATCTGATCTACCTGGTGCATTCCTGATACACCTGGCTCCACCAAAGAGCTGGCCCTTTTGACTCTCCCTCACATGTTGATTTGCCCTCTGTGTTTTTGTATTAATGCATATTAAGCTTGTATTGCACTCGATGTCTGTGTGAAAGCACTGAGCAGATTTAGCCTTGGTTAGCAAATCATCTGTGGACCACCAGACAGACATGTTGTTAAAAAAGATAACAATGAAAGCGGGTCTAGGTGTTCAGTGTTGCTCTCATCATCAGCCTTATCAACTATGGACATAAGAATAGGGGGTGTGCTATGTAAGCCTTTGGTAATGGCAGAGAACATTGTTACACTAAGTCTGTATAAATACATGCAAACTTACATTTTTAACTGTTTTTAGTAACATTTTTTATATTTATGTATTTATTTTACTACTTAATTTAAGCATATTTTCTATTGATTTGGTAATTGACACTGTCATGAACTGTTAATAAAAATCATCGTTATTGTCTTACTTTTATATTCTTTGTCATAATATTACTTTAAAGCTGTGCTGTGAAATATACGGCCTGAGGGTCTGAACCGGCCCGGTCGGGTTTTCCAAGGAAATATAATGTTCGCCGTCACAATCAGAGTCATCATGGCGGAAAAAAATACAAGACAATTGAGAACAGAGAATGTAAATGAATTGTGAGAAGATTTGAGGAATCAGCAGTCTGTTTTCAGTCGTAGCCTCTGATCTCTATCAGAGAGACATTTCAGGCTGTTCATCTATTTCGTAAATGGATTGCTTGGATTGGGGGTTTCAGAATGTACCTGTGCTCCTTCACACTAAAAGAAAAGTTCTTTGGCCACTTTATAAAACATCTTTCAAAGCCCAACACTCTTCCTGGGGGATTAGCCCACTTCTTCATGTTCTAGAAGTATTTTCTTTATAATTTCCAGTGTAGAGTCACTTCAGCCACTTAGTTACTCTTCAGTTCAATTTGACAGGCTGAACAGGTCCAAATAGGAAATCTTTGTTATTTTCCATAGTTAATATTGGCAGTTCTGCTGTCTTGTCTGCCCGTTGACAGACTCGTAGTGGTGCTACAGTGTGAGTGATGTGAGGCGTTGTCTTTGTCACTGGGAACAAAGAGCCTGTGTTGTTCTGTACGCAGACTGCTCTGAGGTCAGTCACCCCGTCCACTCGCTGCACAGTGTGTCCTTTCTCAGGTTTCTGTGGTCCTGAACGACCTCCTCGGCAGTCATGCCCCTCACTGCTACTGACATAAAGAACAGTCAAACACGCCCTGCTCACAATCTGGAGAAAACACCAGTAATAGCTGGAAGGTTTGATAGTTGAATCTATATTAGAACCACTAAGACATTGGCATGATCATAAACTACTGTTACATCACAGTGAATAGGTTTGTCATACAGCATCACTGTTCACTATTGTGTTTTCTATTATTACATTATAGGTTGTGTAAACGAGCAAGAAAAATGGCTGTTGGCTTTTAAAAGTACTTGAAAAAAGTTGTTTGAATTGAGAAAAAAGATTGAAATTGTCATTACATTGCAGATTCTTTCCGCCGTTTTCAAGGAGTAGTTTGACATTTTGGGAGATTCGCTTATTATTTTTCTTCCTAAGAGTCAGGTGAGAAGATTGAAACAACTCTTATGCTGTTTTCTCACTCCGAGCCACACAGCAACTTTCTACAAGTCATTTTCAATGGAAGTCGCTGACCTGAAGCTCCAAATTGACCCCCTGCTGTGTGACAGGCGTGACACACTACAAATCAAAAAGTTGAGGTTTCACCTTTTTTTTAGCGCTCCAATGACGCGCTGAAACCTCAACCATGTTTTTGTTTCACCCTGCTCTGTTCCATCTAATCAAATGCTGTCAGTTCCCAGTGCTATTTCACCACATAACTACGTCAACGAGCAACACTTAACAGCGACTCGCTGACAGTGTAGCTGGCCACACTTTTATCGCTCGTACTATGAACATAGCATTACTGTATGTGTGTACACTCAATTTGACGCTACAGCCAGAAGCTGATTAGCTTAGCTTAAAAACAGCTAACCTTGCTATATCAGAAAGTCCACCTACCAGCTTCTACCAAAGCTTACTAATTAATATATATTAATTAATATATATCTTGTTTGTTTAATTTCTACATAAAAAGACGTTTCCAGTCTTTATGCTAGCTAAATGGTAAATGGACTGCTCTTGCATAGCGCTTTTCTAGTCATTCTAACCACTCAAAGTGCTTTCACACTTTCACGCTTGTCATCATTCACCCATTCACTCACTGATGGAGGAAGACTATCACGTTCACACACCGTAGGCACAGCTACAAGAGAAACTTTAGGGTTAAGTGTCTTGCTCAAGGAGACATCGACATGTGACCAGCAGAACTGGGGATTGAACCGCCGATCCATTGATTGGAGGATGACCCTGCTCTCCACTTAGCCACAATCACCATAAACGGGCTCTAGCTAAATATTTAGTGTAGGCTAGACATGAGATCAATAATCTCATCTAACTCTCTGCAAGAAAGCAAAGAAAAAAAGTTGAATTAGTTCTTTGAAGAAATAGGACAAGAAAGCAGTGCCTGTTGGTGGATGATCCTCCATTCGGTGGCTGCTGTCATGTTGCACCACGTCATGTTGGTGTTACCATGAAGAGACAGATCATCTCTAATACTCACATAGTGAAGTCCATGCCAGGCAGCACAAAGCAGGCACACACAACACCCAGACTGACAGCCTGAATTAAACACTGCTGATAATTCATCATGCTGATACACATAATCTGTTACGTATACATATTTATGTTTGTAGTTGCTCAGTATCAATTGAGATGAACCTCAAGGAGAGGCCAAGTCAGTGTTGGCATACTGTGATAAAAAAAGACTCATTGGACCCTTTGATATGATTTATGTATCGACTTTTGGGTGGATTATGTACGTACTTTAATCTTCAGATGGATTTGTTTGTTTCTCATTGCATACATTGCAGACTTCATCAGATTTCAGGCCCCCTACTGTGCCACTATGTGTCCTTCCTGCAGGTCTGAATGTGAACGCCCCCCTTCCTGCCCTTTGTCATAACCTCTCCCTTACCTCTGTTCCCTAGTATTTACATACCGTCTGAACACTTCTCTCGCTCCCTGTATAAAATGCTTCTTCTTCATTCGTTCTGGGTCAACCTACCGGCTCAGATCTGCTCTGTGTCGGTGAGGTCACCAGTTTGCCGGCATACTACAATAAACTCACAACACCACAGCAACTTCTGAACTGGACTTGAATGATTTCTTCAACATGTTGTAAATCACATCACGTGATGCGACTCAGCCAATCAAATCTGTGTATTCCGACAAGTTTCCCGACTCAAGTGAGAATTACACACACAGGAGAGACGGGGCGAGAAACCGAATAGTTGGAGAATAATTACGTGTCAGAGAAGTTTTTTCACATGAAGTTCTCCAACAACAGAAATGTGGTCAGTGAGACCAGAGAGACCAGAGTCTTTAACCAAGAATGAACACCTCTTCTAGGTTAATTCTTCACACGTCAGTTTAAAATAAGTGTGTCTCACATGTTCAGAGACCGTGATGATCATTAAAAGCGGTAATGTGAAGCGTCACTACGAGACAAAGAATAACTGTATTGTAAATAACTGAGCAAACGTACCCACTCACATCTGAAATGAAGGCACAGAAAAATAAATGATATAAGAGTTATCAGAATCGTAACACATGAATTTACTAACCAACAATGATGTTAACAGAGAGAATAGAGCTGAAACAAGTGGTTTAATATCCACGGATAAAGTCCCTGAACACACGTTTATCTTATTAGAAAATGAGAATAACATGATATCGTGTTTTTTTTGGGTGGCATCACTTCACACCTGAATGAACTGAATTTAAAGCTGAAGGGCAATTCAGTGAAAGTACTTTTTCTTCAATTAAGTACTTCCTTTTAAGATGCACATTTTTCAAAAGCTTTCTGTTATGTCATTTATTCTTTAATCCAGCCTTTATTTTACTAGAAACAAGAGAAGAACTCATTCAACAGAGTGTCATATATGTAGGTTTAATAATTTACAACAGCAGAAGGGCTGGAAGCATTGTTCACTTTGAATCAGCAGATAAAGGAAAGTTGAAGCGCTTCTAGTGAGAGACCTGTGCCCCAAATGCACCCATATAGTTCCTACGCATTGGTGTCCACAGTGATACACCGCTGGTCAGTTAAGAAGAGACGTTAACAGGAAAAACGATATGGGCCTAGTTAGTCCACTAGAGGGTAGCACTGGCTTTAACAGGAGAGACTCACTGGGGTTACTATGGGCCAGTAACACCACTCAACTTAAGACAATGTAGCAAATGTTAAAGAAAGTATGATTTAATGAAAAATTGTGCTGAAAATGGAATTCATGAAAACAAAAATATATATATATATATATATATTATAAATATATACATAGAATCAATATAATTGGAAGTGGGAAAATAAAGCACATAATGTCAGAGAATCCTGATAAAATAGTTTTAAAAAATGATAGATGAAAAACATTATATATACATTAAAATTAAATTCTTGTTTTTTCTGCTTAACTTCTAAATCTGATGATTAAAATCAGTGGCTGAGTGTCTGTCATTGGTCTCTATAACCAGCAGTACTGCAGCAGAGAGGAAACTGACTTTGTCCATTTGAGCAGCTTCCTTCTGGGAGACATGAGACACGCAGCAGTCAGCAATCAGTGATTAAGAGGGAAAATCCAGAGTACAGAATTCACAATGCCATTCCTTGTGACTTAGTGTTCACTGGTGCAGCCATGAGTATGTGTCTGCTTGCTCAGATGGCCGTCCGCACACAAGCTTACGTGTCCGCGTGTGTGAAAGGGGTCCATCCCAAACCCTTCTGTGCCAGTCCCCCGCCTGCGTATCCATGCGCCGGCCTCGAGCTGTCTGCTTCTTCAAACATTTTTTGTGGGCACTGAGTGGTGGGGGAGGGGACAGTAGCTGCTTGGTGTTCTGTGGAGACCAGTTTAGTTTTCACAACAGATTCGCTTCACGTCTAACCACATGCCCTAAAATATACTACACCACACCTGACTGCCATGTGTGCTGATAAATCTCCATGATTAATGGAGTGCACATGCCAGTTAGTCACTGGCAAACTACTTACACAAATACTTTATATAAGTACAGTTGTAGATGGAAGACGCCCTGCAGAACAGAGTCTAGTACCTGGTTTCCTTGTGCAACAAAAATACCCAGGTAGGTTACTGGTTACACCTCTACAATCTCATTTCCTCCAGATGCAGCTGCTCCTCAGTGGTGAAAGAGACTTGCATGTAAATAGAAACAGAGATGGAGGTGAGGGGCTAAAGAGGGACAGTGAGACATATAGAAAGACAGAAGGAGGGAGGATGATGAGAACAGCAGCAGCCCCTTTGATGTGGGCCTCAGTGGGGCCCTGTGTGTCTCAGACGAGGCAGGGCTGTTGAGGGAAGGGG